AAGACTTGAAAAGTAAAAGGATTGAAATTCTTGGTGAGAAGCTTCACTAGGCAGTTGTTTACCCCTAACTAACTACCATGACCTGTGGGATCGAATGAATCGATGCGAGAAAAGGCGATCTTGAACCGCTAGGAGGATCAACTGTGGTTAGAACCACACTCTCAATTGCTAGGCCATGGAATGCATTATAGTCTACAATTTCCTAGGCCGCTAGTTCAATACGCCTCTTTGGGTAGTGCAATGGGGTGGGATAGGAAAACTCAAATAGGGAATCCTATCTAGCTTCGAGCTCCATGCTATATGCTAAGTGTGAATCGTGCTAGGGTATCACAACATTGACTCAACATAGGACTAGAGAAACCTCATCTGAGTGAAGTTTCCACAATTGAATTTAATCACAATTTATTTGCAGGCTTGTTTAGTTCGTTAGTTTAAAATAACAAGTCGATCACTAGATAACGCTTCATTTGCTTAAGTAACCTTCCTGTGACCCTTTGTGAACCCCTCGAGTTTGCTTTAAAATGACATCATTTTTGTTCTTCAGAGTCTGGGTCGAATACTGCCCACGTGTAGCCCAGCGGCCGTGTCCGGTCATCCAATTTTGCTATTTAAGATGGTTTAAGTCTTTTCTGAAGATGAGTTATGTCATACTAAACCTAAGACACCAAATATAAGTTAGAGCTTAGAAGGGAGGGTTTTCCCATTAGCTCTATACCAGAGGAGTGATCTTCGAGCAACTGATGAAGACTTCCACCACAATGATCGATTCTTCTTTTCTCCTTTGTTTGTTTCTCCATTATCAATGAACTAATCCTTCTATGTTGTTTGCATTTGATGAACCCTAGCTATATCATACTTAGTTGATTGATTTTATGAATATCAATGATTTATGTATATTTTATTCATCTTTGATTTATCACACGAGTGTTAGAAAGTTGCACGCCTATTGTTTACTTGATTGTGTAGTATGTATAACGGAGAGATCATCCCCATATGCATGATAGAACACTTTTAGATGAAAGGGACCTCGAACTGCTAGAAGATAGAGGGTGAGGGACTTCTGGATTATGGTTAAACCTAATATATCGTTTATTGCATTAGTTAATTGAAATTAGGTCAAAGAGAATATAAGATCTTGATTGAATCGATTAATAGGGTGTTAATACGCGAGAAGATCGGGTTGACACTAAATTGTGAATCATGGATCTATATATGTTTAGTTGATGAATCATGAATTAGTTAGGGGGATTCGAAGTCCGAGGAACGCTTCTCTGCTAAAATTTGCCTTAATGTCTAAGTGACTCAACTTGAATATCACACTTAAATCCCACCTAAGGCCCAAGTATAAACCTTAAACGGGTGCAATATAGGGCAAGTATGTTTAAATATTTATCTGAACCGGCCCATGTACCCCTACTTCGATTGTTAGAAACATTATCTAGCGGAATGATGTTTTTCAAAATCTCTACGATCTACGATTAAAAAGGAAGACTTGAAAAGTGAAAGGATTGAAACTCTTTGTGAGAAGCTTCACTCGGGATTTGTTTCCTCCTAACTAACTACCATGACCAGTGGGATCGAATGAATCGGAGCAGGAAAAGGCGATCGTGAGCCGCTAGGAGGAGCAACAGTGGTTAGAACCACACTCTCAATTGATAGGCCAAGGAATGCATTATAGGCTACAATTGTAGCACTCTTGGCTCAAGCAATTGAGGGTTGACTTACCTTCTCCCTCAAACAGAGGTTTGGATAGCTTAATCACAATTAACCTAGGTGTTCAATTTGAGTTTAGAGATTTTCCCTACATTAACCTAGATAGGAGGAATGGAATGCCCAAGAAAACCCAACTCAATTTGAGCCTCTTAAGATAATGGGGTTTCCCTTTAAGTTAGGTTAGAATAGAATAATAGATTGCCAAACACACACTATGCACAATCACCATGAAAACTACCTCAAATCGCAAATTAAACACCACCCGCACACAATCATTCAATCCACACAATTAACTACATGGTAGAAGTTAGGGTTCTACAACACCCAAGTGAAAAAGAGACTACTCCATGCTAGAAGAAGGAAGAGCACAAAGGAAAGGGGGAAAACCATCATTATGATGCCTCATTCCTCCGGAAAAAATCCAAAACTACCACTGTTTAAAAAAAAAAGTACAAAAATACCACCCATTCCCAAGAATTTCCAAATCTACCACTGTTTATTAAAAACCGCTCCACTCAGGGGCGGTTAAAACAGAAACCGCCCACCCAGGTGGCGATTTACCATGGAACCGCCTGGTAGACAATCGGTTTTTATGGCTGACCTAGCACAAACCGCATCCTCTGGGAGCAGTTATGTGTCGGCAAGGTAAAACGCTCCTCAGGGAAGTGGTTTACCATGTCGACACATAAACTGCTCAACCCGCTAGCGGTTTGTGCCTCGTCACCCGAAATCTGACATGTCGACATGCAGGAGGTTGTAGGGATGGGGGGCTGCATGCCACACTAAAACCTAGCTTCTTCTCCCTCTTGGTTCGTGACTTTCTCTCTCTAAATTCTTGAAGAAGAAGAAGGTTTCTCTCCCTTTTGGCTCCCCCTCTTTTTCCTTTAAGCTCTACTTTTATACACAGATCGCGCCCAGTTCACAGTCCCAGTTCACATCCATGTACAAATGGCGGAGACCGTGAACTCGAACCACTTCACCCTGTTTCATTTAGCCGGTTCACGGTTCATGGCTTCAGTTCAAGGTCTTGCGACCCTGAACTGACTTGATGCCAGTAACCTGTAGAATCGCTCTAGAACCCTGCCAGTTCACGGTTTATGGCTCCAGTTCATGATCTTGATGACCGTGAACTTTCTGCCTGGACCGTGATCTTCGGCTGCTTCCACCTTTGGTCCGATTTTCACGCCATTTCTTCCAACAATCAACTCTGGGGCTTAGTTCCACCTTTTAGATTCTGAAATACACTGAAACACGGCAAAACTAGCGTAAAACAACATCTTTCGGAGCTCAAATGCCACAAACGCCAAAGATAAATGGGATCAAAAGTGTACATTTAGGCCCGAATCACTAAGTTTTGCCTATGCTGAATTTCACTGCTTTTGTTAGTTTATAGTCTCTATTGGAATATGATCTTGCCTGTCACTATATTGCTCCTACGACAGGTACACTTGTCTTAGTAGTGACACTAGAAAAGACCATCAACAAACCACACCACAAATACTATAAACACATCTGAACTTATAAAGCATACCAAAACCTCATCACACCATCAATTTCATAACGCATACCAGAAAACTCAAAGCTGACTACAAGTTCACTGAAGCATGCCAGAAATCCCATAAAGCCAACCAGTTCCCCTCAGCATACCACAAGTTTGTTAAAGTAGACCAAAAGTTCCCTTAAACATACCACAAGTTTCTTAAAGCATACCATAAGTTCAATAAAACATACCATAAATTTCTTAAAGTAGACCACAAGTTAATTGATACAGACCACAAGTTTCTTAAAGTAGATTACAAGTTCCTTGAAGCAGACCAAAAACCTCATAAAGCATACCACAAGTTTCTTAAAGCATACGAGAAACCTTATAAAACATACTAACAATCCATGAAGTAGACCGTAAATCTCATAAAGGAGACCACAAGTTCTTAAAGCAAACAAGAAACCTTATAAAAGCAAACCACAAGTTTATTAAAGCAAACTAGAAACCTCATAAAAGCAAACCACAAGTTTCTTAAAGCATACTAGAAATCTCATAAACTTGGACCTATTTGTAAAGTATAAATGTTCATCAATATGTTTAGGACTTATAAGCAAACAAATTAATTTTAGATACTAAATCTTAAAATATATTAAGTTTACGTATCAAATTGTACTATGCATATGAAATCCAAATCAATGAGACGGGGGAGGGGAAGGGAGCTGCTATGAGTGGATAGTTACTATAATACGTGTAACGAATTAGAAAGTTAGCACCTTATTCAGGCTTTGTATAAATCACATCAACTTAAGTATTTGCAAGATCTAGTTAGGTTATATATTACGTTTAGGTGCTCTGTTACTCTATTCAATAAGAAACCATGTTATGATCAACTAGACACATCTTCGATAAGTTTGATAGATTTAAAGAAAATCTGTTGTCAATATACTTAATCTCATTACTGTATAAGCATAAAGGACCAACTTATGATCAACTAGACTCATCTTCTATGAATTTGATAGATTTGAAGAGATCTGTTGATCTGCTTCTTTGCATAAAGGACATGGTGTGAAAATTCAAATGATAATTTCTATCGATCCTAGATGTATAGTCACTCCAGTTACTGGCTTTGGGCAGTAAAAGTTTTTTTTTCCAATTGATCACTTCTCTGTTGCTGACTCTGCTAATCTGAGGATGAACTTCTCAAACTCATCATCGACTGAAACAACACCGAGCTCCACTGCTTTGAATGAAGACTTATGGTACAAATCCTTGTCCCTATATGTGTTTTTGTCTTTCAACCTCTCTTCTCCAGGGTCAATGCTTCAGTTCAGATTCTAATGGCTGGTTTTCAATCTGTTTCCACAGGAAACTCAATGCTGCAACAGAAGTTACTTTGGAGTTTGGACCATGATCTTGCTACTGTACTGTCGATGATCATATAAACTGGCCTGCCGCCATTTGGCTCTGGTACAAGTCAGTTTATAATTTTCACCTCAATAAAAAGCTCCTCTCACTCCCATTCCTTCCCCTAAGAGCTTTCAGCCCTAAAATATGAACTCTATGAACACCCATTCAAACAAGCCATTGATGACACTGAACGAAAAGGACCAAAAGATGGCAAGAAACTGAACAAACCAGCACCATAAGAGCTTGGAAATCTCTGTGGATTATTTCAGGCAGTAAACAATTACATCCATAGCTATGCTAGCAAATGAGCAAAAGATCACAGATCTTTATAGACCAGAAAAATTTCAATCAACGGCAATGAAAATATTACCCAATCTCGGATCACAAAGTCATAAAGTCACTTGGTTTTCACTTCCACTCCACTCGTCCCGGCGATGATCACAGCCGTCGCCATATCCAAGAACAACCCATGTTCCACCACACCTTCAAACGACAGAATCTCCTTCCCGGCGGCGTACCCATCTCTGATCGGAGTCTGGAAGTAGAGATCCACAATGTAATTCGAGTTATCAGTAACATACGGCTTCCCATCGTCGTTCAATCTCAATTTCGCCTCCACGCCTTCTTCATTGAACAGCTCCTTCAATCTCACCAGATTATACTTCCAGCAGAACTGCACAACTTCCACGGGCATCGCCAGCTTACTCCCGCCGAGACCGTCGACGAGCTTGGTCTCGTCGGCGACCACCACGAACTTATCCGAAGCGGCTTCCACCATTTTTTCCCTCAGCAGGGCCCCGCCGCGGCCCTTGACCAAATTGAGATCCGGGTCAACCTCATCGGCCCCGTCGATTGCAAGGTCGAGCTTGGGGTGGTCGTCGAGGACGGAGAGAGGGATCCCTAGGGATCGGGCCTGCTCCTCTGTGCGCTTTGAAGTAGGGATTCCAACGATGTCCTTCAATTCGCCGGACTTGAGAAGTTCTCCGAGCTTGGAGACGACGAAGGCGGCGGTTGAACCGGTTCCGAGGCCGAGGACCATGCCGGATTTCACGTAATCGACGGCTTTGTCGGCGGCGAGCTTCTTGAGGTCGTCTTGGGTGAGAACAGGGGCGGATTGGGCTTTGATTGAGAAGGGTTTGTGGGATTTGCGGAAGGAAAGGGTCGGGCGGTGGGCATGGAAGAGAGACGAGGAGGCGGAGGCGGAGGCGGCGGAAGAGGAGGAAGTGACGGCGGGAGGGGAAATGATGGATAAGGAGGCCATTGGAGGAGATTGAATGATAGAATAACAGAGAGAAATGAAAGAGCGAAATGTGAGAGGAAGGTTGAGGGGTCGTCTCCTTTCCCTTCAATGGATTCCTTATCGGTCTATCTAAGTTTCAATGGCGTTCAAGGTTATCAATCCGCGGACTGATTTGGACCCGGTCGAGCTAGTGGGTTAAGGTAAATGGGTCACCCTTTTTAGTCCGGTTTAGCCAGAAAATATGGAAAGAGTCATTATATTGTACTTATTCTGATAAATTATATCAAATTTCATCTAAAATATGAGTTATAACATATAATATTACACTAAAATAACATGTCGTACTTGATCCAACATATAGTGAAAATTCACACACACTTATATAACATCTATATTCAAATGTTCAACTTAGAATTCCAAAGATTGAGTTAGGCGAAAAGAAAAATCGGAAAATAGGCGCATTTCGCAAACCAAAGAAAATTATGACACAATTTGATGTCCAACCCGGTACCTTGTAGTGCTCGACCCGGCGAGTGCGTGCGGCCTGTTTTTCTCACCGAGTCAGGGTCAAAGTGAGTTGACCCGCGGGTTGACAACTTTGATGGCATTACAGAGTTTGGTTCGGATTTTCGGGGTTGGCAGAGACGCGGACTGGAGAGAAAAGGAGGAAAGCGACGATAGATTTGTTGGGGGTTTTTTTTTGCCAAAAGATACTTCGTATTAAACGAGATAATCAATATACATGAGAGTCAACTGGCCGACCAGATCCAAGTACGAAAATCGAACCCTATCCAACTAGGGAACAATGAAAGGGCACTTTTGGTCACCATATGGGTCACCCTATTACGAGCACGACCAACAAAACAAACACTAGACCGGAGAAAACATTGCCTCAACACCTTGATCATGCTCAAGATTGCCCCCACCACGAGCATCCGAACACAAGTCCTCCTTCACCTTGTGATGGGTTGTGGTAGTCGATTTCGAGGTTTGGTGGATCAAATTCAATGATGAGCAACAGGGGGAAAGGTTGGATTACACAACTTCCGACATGAATTGGTGGGCTGGAAGAGCAAAGGACCATCCCATTCGGCAAGGAATCTGCGAACTTAGGATAAGCATTGATGAAGCTCGAGAGGCTCCTATGGTTGACTGGGATCGGACTAAAGCTCTCTAAGCTGGGAGTTGTGTACAAACAGGAACGAAGCCTATTGGCGGCAAAAATCATGGGTCAATTGGTTGCGCACTAGGAATAACAACACTAGATTCTTTCACTTGACGACGAAGCAATGAAGAAGATCTAATTCTATTTTGTTCCAGCGGGATTGAGCATGTGGAATTACACAACAAGGAAGAAGAGAAAGTCGTAGTGGTTGTCTCATTTTATCAGAATCTTTGCTTTTCTACAGAGGATGTGATTCGGGCCTAATTGTACATGTTTTACCCCCCCCCCTCGTTTTCCTTAGTCGTCTGTGGCAACTTCGCTCCTAAAAGGTTAGTTTTAAGCTAGGTTTCTCGTGTTTTAGTGTGTTTCAGGATTTAACAGGTGAAACCAGCCTTGGAGTTGAAAGTTGGATGAAAAGGATCGAAAACCGGGAGAAGAGGTGAAAAATGGCGAGATCGGTTTTCTCGGGCTGTTCACGGTCTTACATGACCGTGAAAAAGAGCCATTGGTCGTGAACCTTGAGGCGTCCAGAGCCAAAAGGCAAGTTACTGACGCAAGACGTGTTCACGATCACTAAGACCGTGAACAGGAGTTGTGGACCGTGAACACAAGGAAGCAAAGCGGTGCGTTTCGGCGCCCAATTGGAGTTCACAGACGCGTTTCAATTTTCACGGTCGTGAACTGGAGCCGTGAACACAGCCCGTTCCCTATTTAAAAGGTGAGCTGAAAGGAAGAGAGAGGGAGGGTCCATTTTAGTGAGAAAGCCTTCTTCTGATTTCTAGAGAGAGAAACATGAACTAAGGAAGGAGGTTAGGGTTTTTGCTCCAAGGTGGATTTTGGGAAGATTTCCTCCAAGGAAAGTTCAACACAAGTGCCAAATTGGTACTTATCAGCCAAATTGATGTTGCGTACCCAACATCAATTTGAGGGAGGGTGTTGAAAATATAAGTATCATTATCTAATTGTACATATAAGTCCTTAGTCTTTAGGGTTAAGTAAACCTCTATATATCTATGTGTATCTCATGTATACTGGGTAACAAGACAATAAGATTGACTTGGAGAGCTTTATCTCTCCTGTGGACTAGTCTTGTTGATCAGGCCAACCACGTTAACCTTGGTGTTTTTGTATTTTGCTTTGATTTTGACGTCGATAGCCAACGCCTCATCCCCCTTTTAACAAGCCAGTTGGTACGAATGATGGCTATAGAAAACAAAGTCTAGATATCAAGCTGGCAAGACAGGCTTGGTAGCCAAGCAACATGGTACCAAAACGACAAGACAAGCTTGGTGGTAAAATATGAAATCAACTAAGTTGGATGTTTGATACCAAAATATGAAATTTGGTTAAGTCTAGAATTTCGATGGCTTGGTAGCGGGATATGAAATTTGGTTAAGTATAGATACCAATCTGGCAAGAACGGCGTGGTGATTAGTCAACCGAGTTCCAAACCGGGTACCAACTAAAGAGCCATACAGAAACTAAGTGTGGATACCAAGTTGGCAAGTCGGGCTTGGTAGCCAAGAAAGATGGTACCAAACTGGTAAGACGAGCTTGGTATTAAGTTACCAAACCTCCCAAAAACTAGGTATAGAGACCAAATTGGCAGGGTGCCAACCCAATAAGGAGGTGACAAGGTGGCCTACTAAAGTGGTCACCCAAACATGTACCAAGTCGTCATGGACAATCCCTAGATCATCAGGACTAAGTATGGAATCTAAAAAGTAAGGGGTGGTCGGCTATGGTACCAAGCCAACGAGAGCAAGATGGTGCCAAGAGGGGCTTGGTAACCCCTAACAGGGTACCAAATCGTCCAAGTGGCAAGGTACAAAGTTGATGAGATTCCAAAAACTAAAGTATGAAGACCAAACAGATAGGGTTGGCTTAGTAGCAGGGGGTATCAAGTCGGTGAGACGACAAGGTGTCAAGTTGATTACATGGGTTTGGTGGCAAGCCGATGAAACAAGTTTGGTAGTTAAAAGCAAGTCGACGAGGAGGAGTTGGTGGTAAGTCATCTAAGTGTTAAGTCGACAAGATGAAACCAAGCCTTCCAAGAGTAAGTATGGAGACTTGGTGAGTAAAGGGGTTAAGTTCTCATCCCATCATTATGGATAACAAGACCTAGCTAACAAGATGAGGATGGGAAGCCAAAGATGCGGGCTAGGTAATGAGACAAAGATGGTATTATGTCGACATCAGCTATGTATGGAATCATCAGGGCTACTAGAGTTTTCAAAGAGGCCCGATGGGAGGGCAAATGTGATGGAGACAAGGAGAGGAGACCTCAACCCCATCAGATCAGGACAAATGAGAGGCCTTCAAGCTTACACCAATTGTCACCAAGGAGACGATGAGGACCCCAAGGCAGTTGGAGTACCAAGGTAGCTAGCGGCTACCAGGGAAGTTACACTAGTTCGCTATAAATAGAATAAACAAAGACGGGAAAAGGGTTCCATCGCCAAACATTTGCTTGTTGACATCCTTCACTAATCTTCTTGGAAATTGGATAATAGGTGTAGCCGAGAAAGTGTGCTTGAATGTAGTTCATGATTGGTAGTGGTTTGGAAGAAGAGAAATTTGGTTTTTGGCCAATGCTAGTGGTCGTTGTTGGTAAGAAAGGTTCTAGTCGAAACCATAGAACCTTTGGTTTTAGGTTGAACATGTAGAACCTAATGCTGTACTTGACACCACCCAAAAGGCCTTTCCCCAATGTCCAATACCCTAGCCAGTCATTTGAACCCGTGTCTAAGACCGCCGGACAAGCTAGTGATGGCAACCATCTTGTGAACTCTAGCATTTAGAGGTTGCCATCGTGGTGAAGAGACGATAGGGCTACGTGTTGATGATGTGCATCTCTTGCATCAAATGGTCCTGACCCCACTGGTTGAGAGTGAGTGATTCATTCACATTTTGCATGTTCATATCTAATCCTTGTGAGGACCTATTTCGCTCATTCGTTTGTTCCTTGGACTTGAACTCTATGCATGGTTAATTGTGGTTGGTGAGTACTTTTATCGAGACTTGTATTGATTTGTGAACAAGGTGTGAAATTTTTGTTTGCACGTTCTTAATGCATTCGAATGTCATTTGTGGTAGATGACGGTATTGCTTGTAATTGTTTATGTGTTGATGCCCAATAGCCATTGAGATTCACCCGCTTTGAGCCATTTGATGTATCTCCAAGTTATCTTGTTAGGTTGAGATAGTACCTTGTTTAAAATTAGTTTGCTTGGGGACAAACAAACGTCTAAGTGTGGGGGAGTGATTCGAATCCAATTGTACACATTTAACCCCCATTGTCCTAAGATGTTTGAGGCATTTTCACTTCATGAGGTTCGATTTTACGCTAAGTTGGGCGTGTTTTTAGCATGTTTAAGATTCTAGCAGGTGGAATTGACCTCGGGAACAATAGTTGGAAGAAAAGGGGCAAAAGGGAGCAGCCAATCGAGGTTCATGGTGGAGGCCTGGAGTTCACGTTCAGCTCGACCATGATAACGAGGACAAGATCGTGAAGTGCGTGGTGTCCAGAGAAGTTTTTCCACCTTGCAGGCATTCGATACATCACAGTGACACGTTAATGATAATCCGCTCCAGACCGTGAAGAGCATTACTGAAACGACACGCTTTTACTCAGGATCACGATCCAGGCTTAGCATGGAGTAGTTCACTTCTTTCACTTGAGTGTTTTTGAACCCTAACTAGAATTATGTAAATGTTTATATGGATTGAATGATTTGTGTGTGGTTGTGTTTTAATGCAAGTATTGAGGTATTTTCATGAAAGGTTGTGTTGTGTTTTCCATTTCCAACTCTTATGCCAATTTGACATACGTAGAGGGAAATCCCCTTCTTGTTAA